CAGTAAGCAGATTTACTACATGCATCACCCTGGTATGGGCTTTTCCTGTATTACTAAAAAGCAGGACAGAGCACTCTGCTCTGAAAGCAGAGACAGGGACTTATGTGAAGGGTGGGTCGACATGGGTAATGTCTGATGCACACAGCACATGAATCCCAGTATTGTATTGCTCCCTTGAACAAGCTCAAGAGACTGTCATTTTCTGCTACGTCTCCTCAGGTAAGTGCAATCCATTATTCTTCTGCTGCTCCTTAGGAAATGGGAGGACAGGAGGCAAGATAAAACCTATGCCCATCCTCTCTGCAGCTTCCTGCTCCAGGGTCAGCAAAGATACACAAGGGTGGCTGTGTGTGAGCCACGTGCATTGATTGTAACAGTGGCCACTTCTCCTTCACTTGCCCGACAGTATGGCTCCAGTCACAAGCCAATTATTCCTGCCTCTGTGCATTGTCTCCTGGATGAAGCAGGTGTGTCTTGCTGCACTGAGCCAGGGAGGGAGGCTAGGAACTGAGGGATGGATGGCAAGTAACAGGATCCCTTCTGTGGTGGAGGGAGAGACATCTGCACACTCTCCTGGGGAGCAGGCTCTAATATCTGCCTTCTCTATAAGCAGAATGGACCAGCCCCTGCATTCAGAAAGGCAAAGCCAGAGGATATGGACCTGATGAGATTTCCAGGTAGTGCTGGGATTCTCCACACACCACATTAGTGGGGTTTGTAAGGCCCAGAAGTCACAATCTGCTGTAATGGATGGGTGGTCACCTGGCAAGCATGACTATATGCTCACTTACTGGAAATAGGTGCTGGTGACTGCTTGGAAAAAAAAAAAAGACCTTTGCTCTAACATTTCAAATTTGTTTTTATTGCTTCTAATTGGCCTTGCTTTGGAGCATGCACATTATCTAACTGCCAGGGCACTGGCTGTCATTATCTGCCAGGTCATTTGGTTTGTGTTCTTTACGATTGAAACTTGTCAGGCACTCCCAGAAAATACTGCGCTCCCCTTGCAGTGTCAAACATGGCACTGGTTAATTGTGCATCCCTGAGAGTGAAGCATTGGAAGTGATCAGGCACTGATTGTTCAGTGTGATGGGCGCAATGGAAACGTGTCTCCTCAGGATGGAGGGGAAAGTGTAAAAATTAGATCAGCAGCAATACGACAGCAGCCACATTTCTTAGTTTCAGGGATCAGAGGTTACCCATTTTCCAGCCTTGATGACTCATTTTCGATCCCGCTCACATGGCTCGAATAACTTAATTTTCTCTTCCCTTTGCAACAATTTAAACACCAAGACTCTTCTATTTTTACTTTCTTTAATACACCAACTGCAAAGTCACTAACTCAAATCTCCCCACCTCACCTTGCTTCACCAGATGGAAACAAAAGTCAAAACATGTGTTTGTGAAAGAGCTTAAAATGCCACAGTGGCACAAGTGTGCCCATGGTGGTGGCTCTCTAAAGCTCAGCTCATCCTAAACATCAGCCCAGTTTGTATGTCTGCTGATTCATTTTAAAACCTTTAAGATTTCCTACCAATTAGAAATCCAGGTACGGTTTTGGATGTGGACATATACACTGCATTCAGAGTAGATGTATATAGGGAACAATAAGCTTTTAGACCTCAGTGTGAATTATGCATCTGCTGTATTTAGATAGAAGCAATTTTCCTGTTGAAATCAGAGGTTGGCATTTTTTCCCATGGGGTTCTGTAACTCAAAATTGTGTTGAGATCAAGCATGTAGTGGAGGTTTTTTTAGCTGTAAAGGTGAATGTATTCAGATTATTCAAGTGGTGATTTTTTGGATGTACAATTAGTTGAGTGAGAGATGTGGTATAAATTTGGTATTGTAATTGCTATGCCTCTGAGATTTCACTTTGCAAAACAGTTTGCACGGCTGCAAGATTAACTGTTGTCTGTGCGATGAACATGTAGCAGAGCTGTGGTTTGATTGTGACTGTCTCTCAGCTGGCTGTAGGTCCCAAAAACACACTTTGTCACAAGTACCTGATGTGAGTGGTTGATACTCATGATCCTTCAGTTCAGTGGATGCCTGGATGGCTACAAAAAGACCAGTGTCTAAAAATCCCACCTGTAAGGCAAGATCTCCTTTTCTGTGTTAGTCAAATCATGAAAAAGGAAGGAAGTTTAAGACCCATTTTTATCCTCTTTACATATTTTGTATGATATCATTTCCTTCGCTTGCACAGAGGAGAATGGGAATGACGTTCAGCAGTGCTGCTCCAGTGGACTGGACCAGTGGGTGCAGAGAAATGAGGCCTGCATGGGATCACACAGCCCAGCCAGGAACTGAGCCCTGCCCGCCTGTCCGGCACTGGCTGTGCCCTGGGAGCGGGCAGGCAGCCTGTCAGCAGCGACATGGGCAGTGCTGATGCAGCTTTAGGGCAGGGAATGGACTGGCTGGCTGGCTTTCCAATGTTTTGCGTGATTCTGCATTTGATCCACAGCTGCTGCTGTGTTTGGGTCTCTGGTGTTGTCTAGGAACATGTCAATGTGATTATACACACAACCAGAGAAACAGCTTGTTCTCACTTCACTGTGCCTTTCAGGTCTCCCTTCCAGGGCCCTAATTTATTTATTTTTGTCTCAGTGTTTCTCTTCAAAATACCACTGTGCCTTAGGTTGGTGATTGCACTGTGGAGATGCAGTAGATGCTGAACTGGAGGCAGCTGTGACACTGGTCAGGAGGGGAGGGCTGGTGGAGGCAAAGCCCTCTAAGCCCTGTGCCCCATCAGCCCCTGCATTATTTCAAATCTTTTTAAATGCATATTAAAACCTTCTTCTGCAACTAAAAGCAGGAGCACTGACAAACACATGCCTGTGTGGTGGGGAAGGCAGGTTTCTCTGTGTCATTACAGCCAGCAGCTTTAGAGGGGCCCGATTCCTTGGACTCACCTTGGGGTGAGTCAGGGTAGAGGGATCAAGAGACCTGGGTTTTCATCTCTGCTCTTTTCAGTTCTCCCCAGGTCTGCTGCATGGTCTTCACTTTTGGTAATATGCCTGTGTGATAGACAGGTCCTCTCCTTCCCAGTGTTTGAGTATGGTTTGGTAGAGCACCAACACCAGCCTGCCTGAGGTCTGCAGCTGCCATGGAGAGTAAAGATAACTGGTCTTTGAGGGAGCAGACTGAGAGCTCAAAGAGTACATCAGGCACAAGCAGAGGACCTTCTCATCTGTCTCCTGCCATAGCAGTGGGGGCTGAATGAACAAAATCAGCAGGGCACGGCAGGTATTGGAAGGGCCAAGAGCTGTCTGAGGGGGCACCCCAAAGGCTCACTGGAGCCCCTTGGCTGGTGTGAGCAAGGCTGACAGCACGGTTTGATTACCTTCCTTGGGATTCGAATGGATAGTCAGGTTTTGTGCTTTTACAAAGGAGATGCTATTGAGGTATATCTGCAGGGGATGGTGATGGCTGCTCAGAGCTGGTGCTGCTTTGGGGTGAGTCTGGAGGCACCCCGCTCTCCCCACTGGCAGTCCACAGGCAGGGTTGTAGGGCTGCCTTGCTGTCAGTGGGCAGCCAAAGCTGGTTCCTCTGGCTCCTGGTCCCAGTGTTTGTCTCAGAGGCACGTTTTCAGTCCCAGTGAGACCTGACAGTGCTGGCAGGGGGCTGTGAAGTGAAGCTTCCCACTCTGGGATATCCTGGTGCTGGCTGAGCCACCCTGAGCGAGGGATGGTGCTGCAGGACCCACACCCTTGGACATTCAGCCTCTCATCAAAGCAAAGGCTCTGGGTATAATGGTGTGAGTTGTGACCCCTTTTCCCCATACCTGGCTTTGCTCAGACAGCCAGCCCAGGGCTGAGGCTGTCTGGTCACTTGTGCCCATCTTGCTGTGACCAGCGTGTCAGGACCTGGAGGGAGGAGAGGCAGCGAGAGTGCTGGGCCATGAAATGGAAAAATTTAATTAAGGCTTCTAAGCAAAGAGGCTTTATAATTACATAGAATAGAAATGTTACAGAATTAACTGATAATAGATATTTACTTTTCCTTAAAGTAGCAAACATTCATCATGCACACTGTAAACACACACCCAGGAATGCTTTTTCTGGGAAACAAGTAGTTATCAGGAACCAAAGTTTTACAAAGCAGGTCTGTCCCCCAGACAAGCTGTGGAAAGCTGGGGAGCTGGTTCTGGGTGCTGGGTCGTAAGGAGATCAGGTCTTACACTGTGAACTCTTAGGGCATCACTTTTTATTTAGCATAACCCTGCTTCTTTGGAGATCAGTAGTAAAACTCCCACTGCTCTGCTAGGGCTGTAGCCCGAAAGGGGCACTGGAAGCGCCACACTCCAATTAATAGTGACAACTGAAGTTTGGCATGACTGCTAGATAATTGGAGTTAACAGGCATGATGAAATAGCAGTGTCACACTGAGCTCTTTGAAGGCACAGGTCTGGGTGCTGGAAGCACTGGCATCATGTGTTGGGTGTTCCCAGGCCACGCAGTGGGAGTCTGTCACCAAAGAGTCTGACCCAGCTGTGAACACCTCTGGCAGTGGGGGCAATCCAGTGGTGAGCAGATGCATGAACCCAGCTGTCCTGTGAATGGTACATGCCCCAGAAGGAAATATTCACAGTCATAGGAGGGCTGTTAACGAGCAGAAATGAAGTGAAACATTTCAGGTGCACGGGAGCCACAGTGAGGAGTGTCATGAATGAGTGGATGCACCACCACAAGGAGAAAACAGTGGTGCCTCACCCAAAGGGAAGCAGTGGGGCCCTTTTCTTGGAGAGCTCAGAGCTAGCACAAAGCCCTTGAAGCCTCCTGGAAGGACTAACCCTGCTCTGGCCAGAGGATGATGGAACCAGCTGGTCTTTAACCACCTCTAATTTGTGCCGAGCTGCCAAAGCCTTCCTTGCAGATGCGCTTCACTGTGAGACTTCACACATGGCTTCTCCTCAGAGCGCACCCCACACACACGTACCTGCTGCTGCAACACCGCAGTGTCTGACAGTACCTGTCCTCTCTCTCTTCCTTTGGCAGGAAGGACAAACTGCCGCACTTTAAATGCGCTGCCCAGCGAGGCCCAGGGAACAGCCATGCTGGCAGCAAGCCAGAGAAGAGGAGCCAGGCACATCTGAAGGACCAGTCTCTCTCCACACGATGAGAGGAGAGGAGAGAAGAGGAGAGGAGGGCTGCAGGGCAAGGCGGAGGAGCACGTCGCAGTCTGGAATTGATGATGTTTCTCTTTTTTTTTTCTCCCAGACAAGTATTTCTAAGATAACAAATAGTCCAAGGAGAGAAGAGGGAGAGGGAATTAGCTAGAAATTTTACTATTGATTCTTTTTTATTTATAGATGGTGAATCAATTTTAGGGCTTTTTTTTTTTTTTTTTTTTTTTTTTTTTTTTT